GAAAGTATCCCTCCTGTCAGAGTCTGGGGTGTGTGTGCTACAGGACCCAGAGTCAAGTCCCCACCCACCCACGTGTGCCTCGAAATCGTGGGAGACCAGGACCTGGCCAGCCCTACCCCCATCATGCTCCGCCTGGCAGTGGGGCACAGCCTCAGGTCCCCCATCAAGACCTGATGGGTGCGAGCCACAGCCTCAGGTCCCCGGACCGAGCGTCAGGTCACCTGGCCCTGGTGTGAGGGCACAAAGGTGTGAGGGCATGATGACTATTTGCATATTAGCTCTTTATTATATAGGATTTGTATTGTTGACACTGTCACAGATGTCCCGATTTCTCCCATCTGCCCACCACCACCCACCCCATTTCCCCCTCTCTTGGCCCTCATTACACTGTTGTCTGTGTCTTTGGACTGTGCATATATGTTCTTTAGTGAATCGCTTCACATTGAGCATCAGGTCCCCCCCCCCACACACACACACACACACTCCTCTCCTCAGACATCTGTCAATCTGTAAATTCGTTTCTCTTCCTGTCTTAGTATGTCTCCCATAATGTTGCCATTAGCATTCTTATTTTCTTTCTATACTAGAGGCCCAGTGCACGCATTCATGCACATGTAGGGTCCCTCAGCCTGGCCTGCACCCTCTCGCAATCCAGGACCCCTCAGGGGATGTCAGACTGCCAATTCGGCCCAATCCCTCAGGCCAGGCTGAGGGATTAGACCAAAACCGGCAGTCTGACATCCCCTGAGAAACCGGCAGTCTGCCCTCCCCTGAGGGATGTCGTAGCATGCAAAGCAGCAGGTAGGCAAGGAGGAGCCCAAGCCTGGGCTGGGTGCTACGCCACTCATGCTTATCCCAGCCAGCCCTGCAGCGCCTGCCACCACCATTCAGTAGTGCTGCCACAGAGGTGGGAGAGGAGAGGCTTGCAGCACTGCAGCCTTGCTCGCCAGCAGTGAGCCCGGGTCTGGCTCACGTAGGTCAGCTGAATGGTGCTCTAGCTGTGTGGGCACACTGATCAATAGAGGGCAGCTCCTGCATTTAGTGTCTGCCCCCCGGTGGTCTGTGTGCAAACGACCATCAGTCCTTTGGTTGCTTAGGCTTTTATATATATAGATAGCCTTCCCCTTCAAAATAATACTGTATCTTTTGTAATATTACTGACATTATTACAGACGACCTTCATCTCTGCCTATATCCCCCCTCCACCCAGCACAGACCCCACTGCAGACCTTCTGCATGCTAATATACTTGACTTTGAGCTATAAATATATGCAGGTAAGTTCTTTCATCAATCTTTTTCTGCCCGCCCCCCTTACCTGAGATCTGTCCAGGTGTTCCATATAGCATGACTCTGGACTTATTTTTTTTGATCAAGTTATATTGTTCATTAGAGTCCACATATAAGTGAAATCCTGCAATATTTGTCTTTCTCTGACATGGTTATTTCACTCAGTATAATACTCTCCAGGTCCCTCCATGATGTCTCAAAAGGTAAGAGCTCCTTCCTTTTTTATAGCTGTGTAGTACTCCATAGTGTAAATGTACCACAGCTGTTTTATCCACTCACGCACAGCTAGTCACCTGGGCTGTTTCCAGATCTTAGCTATTGTAAATTGTGCTGCTATGAACACAGGGGAGCATATGTTCTTTC